AAAGCCATTCTGAGGAATTTTGACTTTATTCTGATGGTTAAATTATAACCAATAGACAAAAAAAGCATGATAGCATGCCTTCAATTTTTATTTTTGTTCTTTAAACTTCTATTATTTAAGGGGAAACCTTTACTTATTAGTCATAAATTAATTGTTTGGAACCTTCAGTGCCTCTTTTTTTATCACCCAGAGTTCTCTCAAACACGTACATTCCTAGCATGCTGCAGCTGGAAGGACCTTCAGATGTCACGAGTTTCCATCCTTTCACTCTGCAGAGACTTGAGGGAGCAGGTGGTCAGGACTTGGTCAGGTTGCCCCTGGGAACTGCTTGCTTTTCCCACCAGTCTAGATCTCAAGCCCCTCACCCCGCATCAGAGATCTGGTGAGTGTCCTCTATCTCCTGTCTTGCTGACTCGGACTGTGCAGAATTCTTGGGCACCCCCAGCCTTTCTCCTCTGCATTGGACTTGACCATCTTCCTTTGTGGCTTGATGGAAAGATGGTTTATCTCAGACTTGCGGGGAGCCTCTGGGAGGTCTACTCATGTCTAAGGAGAGCATGAATCCTCCCCAGATCACCTAGTCTGGTTTTGCCTCTTCTCTGGAACTCCCTTGTTTCTCTGTACTTTTCTTATGGCATAACTCTGGGGGGACCTACCCACTTCTTCCCCTAGACCACATGACACATGGCTTAGTCATCACTGCATCCTGCAGAGCAAGGTAGTGTGAGCTCTGAAAACCTGTGTCAGGTTTGCTGTAGACAGGGATGGGTGGATAAATGGACAGGGCAGGATATCTTATTTCCTAACAGAAGGTTGAAGTAGATGTTGGTAAGGGAATGAAAAATATATAATCTTAATAGCTTGTATCAGAATTTTTCTCAGGGGAAAAAAATGAGCTTAGAAAATAAAGTGATGAGCCATCTGAGGTGAAAGGAGAGTCTTACAGGCAAGCAAAAATGATAGCTGTGTTTTTAATGTGAAAAGACCATGAATTGGAAGGTAATAAGAGATAAGAGAAGAGAGGTCAGGAAAGGAGAGAAGAGAGAAATCTGGGCAGCACAGGAGAGTGCCCAAAGGACTTTAAAACCAGAGACATCTGATACTCACTTAAAAATGTTACAGCTTTACTGCAAACTCACTGTCACCTTTTTGAACTTTAAGTACCATCTATTACACAAAGGCGATGCTAATAAGCACTCAATGACATTTATGTTCGATACAGGAAGTGTCCTTTTCTGTGATGTTTGCAATTCTGGCACAACTGACTTACATCTATATATGCTGAACAGAGAGGCAGATAAGAAAAATGAAGGAAAAATGTAGATTCTACTCTCCTGAATCCTATCATAAATCTACAAATAAAATAATAAAAAAATACATGAAAAAATGGTCATAGTTTAGCGCAGTTTATGTTGCACACAAAACACGAGAGATAGGCAATAAAAATTCTTCTAGTTTAGATCCCAGAATCATTTTCAGCATGGTCCATCAGGAACGTTTGCCTCCAGGGTAGATTTTGAGCAGAGAGAAATAACAAGCAATTAAATTATATGGGAGATTAACTATTGGCCCTTCACTGACCCCTCTTCTTCTCCCCTTCAAGCAAGAGAATCATCGATCAGTTTATGTTCAGGAAGGAGCAACATTTTTCATTTTGAGCTTTTCCAGCAGTCTTGGCTTTTAGGGCTTCTGGCTGATTCTTAGTGCTCTGCTACTTATAAAAATGGGACTCACGATATAAAAAGAGAGAAAAAAGAGGCAATGAAGCCACAAATTCTACTTCCATATTTTAATTCACTTTTTATTCCCTGAATTATATTTTAAAAGCCTACCATTAAGATAACGACCAATTTTAATGCAAATACAATCAGCAGTACAAAAACTCTGCAAACAGGCCAGACACCGCTGGAGCATACAGTTCTGTGCAAAAGTCTTTTACTGCCATCTTGTGGACTCTCAGGGAATAACCCCAGCTGCAATGTCTATTGTACCTTGGGAGTACTAGGTTCAAATGCCACAGTATATGAAAGTAACTAGGAGAATGTATAAGAAAAGAGTAATTTTATTACTTTGGATGCACTATTCAAATTCCCTGTGAATTGGTTTCTTTGTGAGAAGTGGGTATTATACATAATGGTCCATCCTTTTTCTGTCTCAAGTTTGCTTTGAAAATTAAACATAAAATTGCTGTGTAAATTACAAAGTACTCTTCAGAAACAATGGCTTATTTTCCTTGTTATCATGTAGCACTACCTGATTGATGATACCAAAGCATTTTGTATGTAACAAGGGCAGGATGATTCAGACTGAAGAATCAGACCTCAGTGTGAAGATGCTGTTTGTTCTCTCTGGGGATACTAGGTTTTTATGGCACAGTGTATGACGATATGGTAAATGGAAAAAATGTTTAAAAAAAAAGCAGCTAAATATTCAGGTTTCCATTTAATTTTATCACTTTGGGTGCACTGTTTAATTTCTCTGGCCTTCAGAGTGATTTGTGTTATCTTTTGAGGCTCTCAGGACAAGAGAGTGGATGTTCCCAGTGAAAAGAATCCATGAAGATTATGTCTCCAGGAGCAGATAGTAACATGGGCCTGGGGATTGAGGAAGGGGGTATTTTTCTTTTTTTACTAGTTTACTGATGTGCACAGGAGTTCTGACATCCCATAAGCTCAGCAGATATGGAGTAAAGGAAGAGCTTCTTCCAGAAAAATAAAATGCTGCCCGTGGGATATCATCCATCAAACCACACTTCAGTCATTCTCTTGTAAGCTTTGCATCAACTAGAAAACTAAGGTAGTATGTTGGATCATAGATGGCAGAGGTGACTTAAAAAAAACATCTGAACATTTCAGGGAAAAATTGGGAACAAATTTTTAAAGGCTTAAAGGCTTTCCCTTCCCCTTGGGGGAGACTTCTTAAAGTTCTCTCATTTGCTGATTTATTCACCACTTACTAACAATGCTGTGTGCCTCGTGCTGCTGAGTTAGGCCCTGGCTGCAGTTATAATCAAGACACACCTCTGTTTTCAAGGAATCCCCAGTCTGTTGGGAAAATGTTCATGAAAACAAATCAGGACCAAAAGGAGAACACAGGATGTCACTAAAGATCTGCGGAGACACAGGGTTGGGAGGAGGCAGAAGGCCTTCTCTCCCTGTATCTGAGTCCTTCTTAAGGGCCTTTTGTAGGGCCTTTAATTCACCTTCCTCCATGTTTAATAAATTTCTCCCTCCTCTGATCTCTTGAAGCTCTTAACTGGAATACCTCGTTCACCTGCTGATCATCTCAGGCACTTTGCCTGGTTAGATTTCACTTAAGTAGTCTCTTAGCCTTGCTTCTCTACCTGCAGTTTGGTATTAACTATTAAAATGTCATTTATAAATGATAATCAGGTTATGGCTTCAAACATAATTTTCATTCCTTCCTTTCTGAGATATATGTATACACACACACACACACATACACATAGGTGTGTGGGTATATATATATAAAAATTAAGAACATGTTCTAAGCATCATTCCTTCCTGAGTTTTTTTTTATGGCTTAGTAATATTCTGGTGTGCGCGCGGACACGCGCACGCACGCGCACACACACACACACGCACACACACACACACATATCTGTCAGTGGACATTTATCCAGTCATCTGTCAGCGGCATTTAGGTTGCTTTCATATCTTGGCTGCTGTAAATAATGCTGCTATGAACACTGGGGGTTCATGTATCTTTTCTTGTCTTTGTGTGTGTGTGTTTTAAATTGCCTTTATTGAAAATATTGTAGAGAAATCAAATTGAGATTGTCAAGGAAAATTTAGGATCTGTGGTTTTATCTCTGTAATATTTAATGCCACCATTATTGATAATCAGAATCACTTTTCAGGAGCCATAGCCATTAGGGTCTTAGAATAAAAGCATGAATAGGTTTAATATAGACTCTTAAGAGATTTTATTGATAAGCAGTGGAATTGAAGGTACCATGTTAGCTACTTATTGCTGCATAACCAAGTACTACAAGCTTAGCATCTTAAAACAGTGCACATTTATTATCTTACAATGTGTGTGTGTTGAGAGTCCAGGTATGGATGAGCTCCTCTGTTCTGGGTCTCACAAAGCTGCAATCAGATGTTTGTGGGATGTTCTCATCTGGAGGCTCAACTTCAGATAGGAAGTTGAATCACTTCCACGCTTACTAAAGTTAGTGGAAGATGTACTGTCCTTATGGTTGTATAATAGAAAGCCCTAGCGTGTTGCTGGTTGTTGGCTGAGGGCCACTCTCATGTCTTAGATGATGTCTGCAGGTGCTAGAGATCACCTGTAATCCCTTGTCATGTGGGCTTCCACCATGGTTGCTCACTTCGTCATATCTTTTTGAATTAGGGCTTTTGTCTTCCGAATATATGCACAGGAGTGGGATTGCTGGATTATATGGTAAACCTCTTTCTAGTTTTTTTTTTCAATTTTAATTGAAGTACAATCAATTACAATGTGTCAGTATCTGGTGTACAGCACAATGTCCCAGTTATGCATATATATACATATATTCGTGCTATTTCTAGTTTTTGAAGGAACCTCCATACTGTTCTCCATAGTGGCTGCCCCAATTTACATTCTTTCAAGGAACTTACTGATTTTAAACAACAAAATAGCAGGGTGAGAAGACTAAAACAAACAGTGTGGTTATTCCTTTCTATCACATCAGCTGTGCATTATGACCATGTTCATGTCCTGTTTCTCCACTAGGTTATCACCTCATGAGGGTGGGATCACGGTCTTACTCACCTGTCTTTCCTATAGCACCTAGCCTAGCATGGGACAGTCATGCTTTCACTACTGAGCACCTGTGAAGTGCCAGGCCCTGTTCATGCTCTGGGAACACAGCAATAAATAAAATGAATCAATAGGAGATATTTAAAATCAAAGAATTAAAAAATGAGAATTTCCCAGTCATGTATGTGAAGTATTTTCTACCTCGTCTCCTCCCTTCTCTCTAAATATGTATGTATATATGTGTACATATACACATATATTTAGATAAATAAATAAAACACCAATTTCCCCTCTCTACTAGATCATTTCCACCAACATGTACATAGACATTGTTGCTTTAAAAACAAACTCTACCCTCCAGTGATCATCCTACTTCATTCTCCTTTTTAGAAAAACTCAAAGGAGATGTCTGTGCTCCTTGGCATTAATTTCTTTCCTCTCATTATCTTAGAAATCCACTTCTACAGATTCTCACCCCATTACGCTGCAGACACTGCTTTTTCATTTGGTCAGTAAGTTCCATGTGATTACATTCAGCAGCTAATCTTCACTTCCCATTTGACATGACTTCCCAACGACACTGAAAGCAATCGCTCCCACTCCCTGGAAGTACTTCCTTCTTCGCTCCTGGGGTCCTACTTGATTTCCTCCTGCCTTACTGGTTGTTCCTCTTAGTTCCCTCGGTGGATCCTGCTCCCCTCCCGGGGAGGACCCGGCGCACTCCAGGGCGCAGTCTGTCTCTGCCTCTGTTACCTGCTCCACCTGTAGGAGCATCTCTGCCTCAGCTAATAGTAGGAAACCTTAGTGTCATCCTTCACACCTTCCTTCTCTTTTACCCCACACCCAGGCTTCTAGGAAGTCTGCGAACTGTCCCTTCTAACTATACCCAGAGTCATTCCTCGCTTCGTCCTCTTCTACCAGAGCTGTCCGACCCTTCACATTCTGATGCAGATTATTCAGGCAGATTCCTGGCTTGCCTCCTGTTCCATCTTTGTCCCTTGTTAGTCTGTGATCAACACGTTGGCCAGATGGGCCTCTTAGTGTCAGTGAAATCATGTCGTGTCACTGCTCATCATCCTCCCATCCTCCTCTCATAGGAAAGCAGAGCTCTTACAGAGGCTGAGAGGCTGTGCTCTCTGTGACCCACCCATTCATGGCTCCTCTGCCCTCACCTTCTCCTTCCCTCCTCTCCTTCCAGTCTCACCTGAGTGGCTTCCTCAAACACACAAGGCGTGCACCTTACACACAGTTCTTCCCTGCGGAACTGCTCTGGAGATCTGCATGGCCCACTCCCTTTCCTTTATTCTTTGCTAAAATGTCATCTTTTCAGTGAGCTCTGCTCTGACCACCTTATTTAAACTTTCACCTCCTCTTCCAGCACCTCAAATTCACCTTACATTCCTCTGTTGGTTTTTCAATGCACTATCACCTCCAAATAGGTTATATAATTTCATTATCCATGACTTTAAAAAACTATTGTTTTTCCTACTAGAATGCAAGCACCATGAGGCAGCAATTTTCCTTTTTTTCTCTTATATTTCTAGCACTTAGAATAGTGCCTTGCATATAATGGCTGCTGAATAAACTATTATTGCACGATTGAATACATGAATGGTTAGTGCTCATTAGCACTGTGCCGATGGCTTAAATATATTATTTTATTTAATGCTCACAATAAGACTGACAGGTGTTATCATCCCCATTTTACAGGTAAGGAAATTAGTGTCTTACGAGACTAACCAGGTCAGGCTCACAGAGCTGGGAAGTAGTGGATTTGAGATTTGAATTCCAGCCTATCTGATTTTCAAGGTCATCCTTTCTCAACTCCATCCTGTTGCCTTTCCACGTTTAGTCACCACACAACCCAGCAAATGGCCGTGCATCAGTGAACACATGCCTACTTCTCATTTTTATATGTTGAACTTGATCTTCATGGTGCAGCTTTCTCCCAGCTACAGCTTGTGACTTCCAAACCATGATTGTGTATTACGTGCAGCTGCTCACACCCCAAAACAGTAGGGTTTTTGTGTTCTTCCATGTCCAAACCCCTTCTCAACACCCACCGGAAGAGCTCACCCAGCCTCTGTGCCTTCGCTACACTGTTCCTTCCAACCGGCAGGCTCGCCTTCCTTAATTCACGGCAACGAATGTTCTTGAGCAGCAGGGCTAGGGCCCTAGGCACTAGGGCCATAGTCTCTGTCCTGAAGAAGTTCTTGGGTTTTGTTTGGAAGAAACCAACATGAGAACAGATCATTCGCCTACTCTGGGCAGGGTCTCTAGGGGCTTCTCTACAGGAAGAACCCGGTACAGAGGGGGCACCACCCACAGCACTTTTAGGACCTGTGCCTGTTTGTGGTAGAGGAAGGTGAGAGGGAAGGCTTTGAGGGGAGGAGCCCGCCCGGAAAATCCTGTCCTTTTCTGAACCCCCTCCCTTCTTCCTAACTGTAGGCTCCCATGAGCATCCTTTTTGTAGAAGTGATGCTGCACTTTCAAAGTGGATAACGTGGATCATTACATAATCACTCTCAGAAGCTGTGAAATGGGGAATGTGTGTGTCTGCCCTGTACAGTGCTAGACCCATATAAGGCGATTCATAAGTTCATCTTAATTGGCAGGAAGGTAAATAGAATTCTTTAGGGCCTTTAGAGCCTTTCGACGGAGAAAACTATGACGAGCAGAAGGATATTAGGCAGGGCAGGTCGGGTTGGGGAGAATGTGCCCTGGGCATCGCAGTGGAAACGCTCAGCACAACCACAGCCAGGACTGCTTGTAACTGGAAATAGACAGCTGTTCTCGCCCAATGACTAATTCCTATTTGTCCTCAAAACACAACCCACTGTTAATTTTCTTGGAACTCTTCCCTGGATTCTTCCAAGAGACTATTTCAGCAAGCCCCTGGTAGTCAGTCCTGGAAAAATGACTTTGCGTTTGGGTGAGGAGGGAGGAGGGGTGAGAGATATTTACTGTGCCCTTCCTGTGTGGTAGGTCTTTATTTCTGTTATCCTACAGAGGAGAATTCCAAGACTCAGAAATTTTAAATAACTTGATCAAGACCATACAATTAGTAAAAGGTGAAGCTAGGAGGGGACCCTAGGTCTGCCTGACTTCTCTAAGGCAGTATTTTTTCACCTTCCACACCAACCTCACAAATTCTGTCAAATCTAATCATGCCATTTCCTTGTGTAATACCGTGATTGTAAGAAATATACACTTGGCCTTTGTTCCTGTTTCTGGCACAGAGCTCCTAAAACCCTTGGAATTTCCTAAGTGATGGGAGAGACAAAGGAATCTTTTGTCATGTTAATGAGGTGGCTTTGGGACTCAACCTAAGGATGGCGCTGGTTGCCAGGAGAACCCACCCTGTTAGAACTTTCTTGGTCCTACCCCCTCAGACCTCCCAGGAGAGAGGAGCTGGAGACTGAGTTCAGTCTCCTAAGGTCAACGATTTAATTAATTATGCCTCTGTAATGAAGTCTCTGTAACAACTTACAAGGAGGGGGTTTGGAGAGCTTCCCACTTGTTGAACATGTGGAGAGGAGGGGAGAGTGTCTTGCCTGGAGAGGGCGTGGAAGCTCTGCACCTTTCTCCATACCTTGCCCTATGCATCGTTTTCATCACTTCCTGAGCTGTATCTTTTTATAATAGACTGGTGATCTAGTAAGTAAAATGTTTCTGAGTTCTGTGAGCTGCCCTAGCAAATTAATTGAACCCAAGGAAGGGTCATTGGAACCTCCAATCTATAGCTGATTCATCAGATGGTCAGAAATACAGCAGACAACCTGGACTTGCAACTTGCTTCTGAAGTAGTGGGGTGAGGTTAGGCACAGGCTTGTAGGACTGAGCCCTTAGCCTGTGGAATCTGATGCTATCTCCAGGTAGATTGTATCAGAACTGAGTTTAATTGGAGGACACTGGGCTGGTGTCAGAGAATTGCTTGTTGTTGTGGGGAACACCCACCTTCACCCATACACATACCCGCCTTTTGAAACTGGTGACCAGAACCTTTACCCTGCTTAAAACCTTTCCGCAAGTTTCTGCTGCCCTTTCATCTTCACTCCACTTTAAGGCCTTAGAAGGTGTATGAGGTGCTTCCTTCCTCACTAATCTCACCTCTCTCCATATTCCCTCTCCCTGTATCTAAACCACACCACACATGGTGTGCTCTCCCTTGTTTCTGGGCCAGGGATATGCTGATCCCCTGCTTTCCTTTTCCTTCCTTGCCCTGCCCCCCTGCTCTGGCTGTACTTTCTATGTCATTGTATTGTATTGTATTGTATTGTATTGTATTGTATTGTACCGTATTGTACGTTAGGTCCTGGAGATTGAACCCGGGACCTTGCTCGGCTCTACCACTGAGCTTTACCCCACCCCCTCTCGCAAAGCTAAGGTAAGACATCACTTCTTCAGAGAGATCTTTCAGGTGCCCTGGTCTCGGTCAGGCCCCCCTGTGTGTGCTCCCCAGCACCTGTGGCTCCCCTTTGGTAGCACATTCAGAGCTCAGATTTGCAAACTCCATGAGGGTCAGGATGGGGCTTATCATATTCACCGCTGGGTCTCTGACCCTTGGCACTGTGTCTTGTCCAGGGTAGGACAATATTTTTTTTGATACTTTTTCTACATATGTTTTCCTTAAATATTTTCTCAATAATTTTCTCTATTTTGTTCCCCAACCAAAGTAAAAATAATAGAACTGGAGGACATGCCCCATTTAATTTGATTCTCATCTTTCTGAAAGACCAAAATGTGGATTCACCACCAAAGAACTGATGATTTATTCATTCATTTATTAGAAGGTGTTTGTAACGATTTAATAGAGCTATGCAGACTTTTCAAGTCAAGGTACATTGGTTTGTAAAGTCCTTTATCTCAGGAAGATATTTTTAATTACTCTGGGACACAAAGTGCTGGAAACAGAAAATCACCATTAGAAATAAAGTCTTCATGGTCCCCGGACATTGGCAAAGCCGATAGCCTGTCCTTGCCTGGATCTCTTAGCATGCTTAGATAAGCAGAGTTAGGGAAGGCACTGCCAGCTGCCCAAATGCAGGCCTGGGTCCCTCCCAGTGGAGGCTCCTCCCCAGAAATCATTTCTGTTGTTCAAGAAGTGAGTATGATTCTCAAGACCTTAGATCTAAAAAATCCCTCATATAGAACTCAGTGAACCAGACGATCTCTAATGGAGCAGCTCGGTGTCCAGATATCATTCTTATTTTGGGGCAATCCAAGACAGGAAGGAGGCACAGCCTCCCCTCCCACCCCACCCCATTAGAAAGGTGGAGGGGATATGAAAACGAATACGTGTATGTACATGCGTGACTGGGACATTGTGCTGCACACCAGAAATTGACACATTGTAACCGACTGTACTTCAATTTTAAAAAAATTTAAATAAAAGTGGAGGGGGACAGACATTCCCTTTCCCCACTCCTCAGCATCAGAAGGCCAAGCAAATATTCCTGCTGGGAACTTAGGATCTCCACACTGAGGTGTCAGCCTTGTGGAGAGAGAGAGTTTTTTCACAGCGCCTCTAGCAGTGTGGCCTGGCTGTAAGGCGCCCGTGGTGCTGACCTCAGAGCAGCATCCTCAACAGAGTGACCTTCAGCAGAATTTACTTCCTGGCCTCTGAGCCTGGTCCCCCTAGCCTTCCTGGGATTCAGCGAGCTATTTGTTATTTCTCTAATAAATTCCTTTTCCATTTAAGTGACTCAGATGTCTGTTGTCGGGAGTTCAGACCTCTGGCAGGTAAACTCACCAGCCAAGCTCCCACAGGGCACATTCCTGGAGCAGTTAGTATTGCACACAAGGAGGCTGGCTGTAATAGGAGGAGGCCTCTGCCTGGAGTCTGACCAGCTTCAAGTTAGAAAATCACTGAACCCTTCAGGCTCTTACTGTTGAAAATGGCAAAGTGATTATTTTCCTACCTGTCCTGAAGGGATGCTGTGAGAATCAAGTGAGGTGATGTCTACAGTCAGGACTTCGTACACAGAAGTGGTGATGCGAATGTCAGGGTATTAGGGACTAGCTAGCAAAATAGGTTACTCAGAGGCAAAAACAAATAGCTAAAAATCAGTGCACTTTTAGCTGGGGGGTCAGTCCTTTCTCACAACTTGAGCTGTCTCTGCAAGGGTTCCCCTTTATCAGGGGTCAGCTGTGGCAAGAGCATCTTCAGTGTTTACGTGGAGAGGGCTCAGGGTCAAGTGTTGGTTCTCCCTTTGAGGCTTGGATAGGGGCTCTATCACCTAAACATCTTTTTAGAAGAAGAGTATATATTATAAACAAATTTTTAAATAAACATCGAGTATTTAGCATTTAGTATGTAATGGAATAATTATTTAGTATTTGTCTGATCTATGGGAATATTTGTCAATTAGGAGTGTGTCATTTAGAATGTGTCTCATTTGGGAAATATATTCCATTGACCGAAAGCTAAAAGCTTTGAGATACTCTGAATCTTCAGGACAGAAGGGGTTCTTTGGGCTGAGGGTTCAGATGAATACAACTGAGGGGAGCCGTGTGATTCCCAGCTGCCTTCAGAGAAGTGGGCGAGGATGAGCCTTTCCTTCACTCATCAGCGTGTGTCCCGTAGCTGGGCGCTGTGTCAGTGTAGGGGATGCAGAGATGACTGAGACCCAGTCCTTGCCCTCAAGGGAAGCTTCAGAGGATCTAGATGATGCTTTTAAGTCACCTCAGTCTCAGAATCTGTGTGTACAGTGGCTTCTCGTGGCGCCTCCTAGTTCTCCTGTAAAAGCTCAATTATTTCAGGCATTTATGTTTTCCTCACTAACTGGACTTAGAGTGCAGACAGCCTCAGACATAAGCAAACTGCCAAATTCAATTTTCTGTCTGAAGGCTGGCACTGCAGAAGGAGCATAGCTTTGAAATCAGAAGCAGTAGTGGTTCAAATACCACTGTCATTGCCAGTGATCACTGTGTGATCTTGGACAGATTGTTGAATTTCTCTGAGCCTCCAGCCTGACAAGGTGGTTGTTAGGATTCAGTGAAATCATAATGCGGTATCTGGCGCAATACTTGGTGGTAAGCAGATACCCAAAATATGAGGCGTTTTATCCCTAATT